ATACTTAGAATAGGGTTTTGCGGCCCATGCTACTATTACTAATATAAAGAACCCACCAACATAGTATTGGTAATTATCTAGGCTCCTACAGTAAGCCTTCCTTTCCCAATAAGCCCGGGAAATAAAAGGTTGAACTTTCAAATTACTACTAAACTATAAGAACCCAAAAAGTCTAAAGGTTGGGTATTGGGATTTAAGATCCTGTATCTTATTTAAGTTACCATATCGAGGATCTATAGAAAATAATCTGGTTTCTTCATTATGGTAACTAAAAATATATCCCCTAACAACTAGGTTCCCCAGTAGCCCCTTAGTAAGAAGGGTGCCCTTTTTCTTACTCCATGGTTTTAATAAGGGAACCCAAAAAGAAAAAGGGCAAAAGGGTACTACTGGGGAACCTAGACAAGCCCCCTAAACCCTAACCCTAAACCCTAAACCCAAACCCTAAACCCCAAAACCCCTAAACCCCCAAAAACCCACAACCCCAAACCCTAAACCCCAAAAAACACCAAAAAACCCCAAAAAACCCTAAACCCCACGGAAGCTCCCCTCCGGTCTCGGAGGCTGGGTTCCCTGGCCCAGGCCACGCGCTCCAAGAGCTCGGCTCCACGATGTAGGCCCTGAGTCATCTGTGGGGTTTAGGGGTTTTTATAGGGTCCCTTTAAGGGATCTATAGAGGGTACTATAAGGGTACTATAAGGGTGCTATGAGGGTTTGGGTTTAGGGGTTTAGGGGTTTAGGGTGATACAAAATATAGGGTTCCTTAAAGGGATCTATAAGGGTCTCTAAACGGGGCTTAAGGGATATTAGAGTTTAGAGTTTAGGGTTTCAGGGTTTTTGGGTTAGGGTTTTGGGTTTGAGGGGGTTTTCGGGGTCTTAGGGTCGGGTTTTCGGGTTTAGGGTTTAGTGGGGGGATTAGGGGCTTTAGGGTTATGGGTCTTAGGTTGTTCGGGGTGTCGTGGGGGAGCTACAGAGCATGACCTACATAGTAGGATGCACGCCCAGTCACCCAGCACGGAAGAGTTAGACTAGCTGAACTTTTCCACTAGCAGGCCGTGCCTGCGACTTCTCCAGCCCTTCCAGCAGGGACTCTGGAATTGGATCGCCAGTCCTGGCAGTGTGTCTTGCCGGTAGAGGCGATGGTGTTGTTTGCTCTCAGGGAAAAACAGCGGGCGTGGTAGCAGGAGAAAGAAGACTAGAAGTAGCAGCAGCCGTGGCGGCGGAGGTAGTGGTATGCTGTGCAAGTAGAGGTGTAGTCGCCGTCGCGGTCTTTGCTACTGTGATGGCAGAACCAACCCTTTGTCGTCTTGGTAGTGTTAGTCAGCTAGTCTTGGCAGTCATCGCAATCTGGGAGTAGCAATGAATAGTAGTGATGTGTCAGTGTGCACTATATCCAGCATTTCTTGTCATAGTAGCAATGCGCACTTGCTAGTTCTATCTACTCAGACGCAGGACATGATGTGTTGACAACTTTAGGGCGAGTTGCAAGAGACTTCTGCAGTCGCCGGTTCTGCTGGGTTCTTGTTAAGGGATTTAATTCAACTTACCATAATAAGGAAGCCCTATTATTTGCTATAGACCCCTATTATGGTAACTTCAGTTAAATCCCTTAACAGGAACCCCGTCTGCTGTAGTGGCAGGTTGAAGAGCTTCCGGCTCCGACCGGCTCTTGTTGTTTAACGCCTTCAGGATCACCCACACATCAACGCAGGCCACGCTGATCGCCGACCATAAGCCTACAACCCTAAAGCCAAAAAAGAACCCCAAACCCCACACTGCGGTTGATGAGATAAATCCTGCATTACCCATAATAGGGAATATGCCATAATTCCCATGGTTTCTACTGCGGTTGATGATATAAATCCTGCATTACCCATAATAAGGAATATATCATAATTCCCAT